CACACACACACACGTCACACATGTAAATGCAAAATGCATATTGTGACGACCCATGGTGTGCATGTGTATGTATGTGTGTGTACGCGCGTGGGGTATTTCGATTTGGTAACCAAACTGGCTTCATTGCTGGGATTTGGCTAGTGTGTTCTCCAGCCAGGTGCGGCTCCAGGGACGTGATACCAACTTTCATGCACGCCTGAACCCGCGTACGAGCAGGTGAAGTTTTTCCCGGGAGAATCGCTTACTCGGCAACCAGAAAAGCGGGAAGGCTGAAATTTTAAGAGAATGTTCCCTGCGTAGGTATAACTTAAATATTTCAAAGTCAGCTCTTAAGCATGCATGGTTCTTAGGTACAAGCGCATAAAAATTTTGGTTGGAAAGTTGGCCACTGATGAGAAAGGTCATTTTTAAAGAACGGCTGTTAAACGGGAATTGTCCATTTTCCTTTAGGCAAAGTATACGATGATTTACGTTAGTGAGTACGCAAAGTAAGTGTAAAGCATCAACCGTTCATACTGTTACGAAGTGATTGCTTCAAGTTTAGTGCAAAAACTCATAATAGCACCGGCAAGCTTCATGCGTTCCAGTCTGAGTTAACCAAACCACAACCGTCATACTGATGAGATCCATTTGCGGTATTGGAATGAATGTATACGAATTCTTGGACTGGAACATTCCTTTTCAGTTTTATAGACATAATTCCCACGAAAAATCAACTTTCTTCATCTTATAAAATTTCCAGTTATCTTTTGTATAATTTCTTTTCTAGTTTTCCTGTAAAATCTTTTACAATTTCTCATCATACGCGCATTTCTTCCTTATTTTGCACCCGAGTTTTAATACATTAATATGTGTTCATTTCACTCAGACGCTCTTTGTTCTATTTAGTGAATAGAGATATTACAAGTGATTTATCCTCATCTTAATTCCCCTCTTTTAACACAAATGGTATGATAGATGATTTTAATGGATTCGGTATTTACCAATAACTTGTCACCATTTTTCCATAATTTTGAAGTATAATGTGAATGAAGTGTTCAAATAATATAGGTAAAACTAAACGATATGCAGCGGACAAATTGGTTACTTGAAAATTTCTCAAGTATTCCAGTCCTTCGGAGAAAACGTGTTTCAGCTTCACTAATTCCGAATCCTGCACTTCTCTTTCACCTTTTAATGCTGCTTCGAGAAATGCACTGCCTGCAAACAGAACTTCATGAAGTAAACATATTACCCACTTAATTCACATGCTCAAACCTTGAAACACTGGCTTATGAATGTGTAGTCGGAGAGAGTCATTCATTCCGTTACATACAGGTAAGTGCCGTAAGCACGATCGCCCTGATAATCGATGTGGAAAAACCATGCCAGCGATGTCATTGAAATGCGCCCAATATACCAAGCGCTGTTATGCCAAACCTTTCAATTCTGAGCTGCATATCTTTATTTAGTGCCTACCGCCTGTTGCATCAATGTCCTATGCAATTGTGTTTCTGTTGGCTACTTAACTGAGCATAAGGGGTTCAATAGCCTGTCGCGAGAAATAAACCGTTATATTACATTACATGTAAGCCATCCCTCTTCAAATACCATTGCAGTAGTCATTTTTTTTTTTGCCAGCACAACGTTTTCTTGGGTTTTAGGCAAATAGAGACACACAGCATAGCGTACAGATTGAATGGGCGATTTTGTTACCTTCACTCATATTCGAACTTTCGATCTCGAGAACGTCGCGTAAATTACGCATGAGTCTAGTTTCGGAAGCCTGAAATGTTTCGATTTCCTCGATGAACATCTCCTCGCGTTTCTTGAGTTCACGATAATAGCGCCGAAAGTATTCTTTCACCTGCCGTTAAATTAAATAATTAGACTTCAAAATATAACAATACTTTGACATTTCTAGTACATAAAGCCAACAGTCCTACTAAAAATACAGTTGGTCAGACGAACCCGTCTTCCGCTCGACTTTTTCAAAAACTCACACACTTAAGCATTTCTTGCACAAGTTTCTATTGGGAAATTTCATAACTTCATAGTGTTTTCATGTGATACCAGCAATGTATTAGAAGAAAAGCATGTCGACGTAGCCGCTGAATCCATCCATTAACTAAATAGAACGATGCGAATGCGAAAAGCGCAGAAACGTAGTTGATGTCAGAGGCTGCAAGGATGGAGACGGACTACAAATTGACAGTTGCCCAGACACACTAAGCAAACTGATAATGACCTGTTAATTTTTATGTAATTTTTTATTGTGTCTTGAGAGAAAATGTGAGAACTAGCACCAATTGCAGAAGTTTCATGATTAAAAGAGTTCTGATTTGGTCAATAAATGGAACTAGCTGTTCAGCTAAAGCACGAAAAATGTGGCGCTGTTACTACAAGTTGATAATACTCTAGCACTTGCATTCGCAAAAAAATGGAACCTCATCCTTGGCTGTTTCGCAATTTAGCGCCAGCAGCTCTGCACCTTTACTCAATCCGTCTGACGCTTCTGTGATTCGATTTGACAAACGTTTCACCTCAAAAAATTAACAGTGATAAAGCTATTGATGCGGGACATAGATTTGAAATGAACTACAAATTTAAATTAACTGCTACCCAAACTGGTGCGGGATTCCGTGCTAATGATGATACTCGGATGCTCAGTTTTACCAAATTTCTCGTTTCTGAGTTGCATATCTCGAGATATTACCCACCAAATTTGGAACTACGCTACTTCTTCGAAGACAACCAGGGGGACGGTTTAAATCCCGGCGTGATACAATATTGAATTCATATTCCAGCAATTCGATTTCACCTTCCAGCAGTCTTCATATAAAAAAGAAATTAGCTCTGTTACTCTCTCAGCAAGCACAGAAGGAAACACGGAAGAAGTTGAAGTGAGTTGCTTAAGTTATTCCAAACGTCAGACTGACGACCCGACTACATCAATCAGCTGCATTGTCTTGGGTGCTAATTCCTTTTGCGGTCAGACCTAAGAATTGTTACTCGCAGAGGGAGTCAGGATTTCTGTGTAAAAGAGACTGATTTGAATTTAAGAACAGATACAACCTGATTTAGCATCCTAGTCAGGTCGCGTTTCAGCATCTCCAGATGTGTCGCTCGGCAGTCCGCGCAGGCCCGCCTCTCGCAGTGCGCACAGTTGTCCAAGACAGCTTTCTCGTCGCATATCTTGCAGCGCTCCAGATTGTACCTTTAAATAGCTATGAACAGTTAAGAAATGAAGGAGCCAGCCAGAGTCGGATCGCAACATCACATCCTGCTCAAAAAAAGTGTCTTCTGTCTTCGGTGTTAGCAGACGTAGTTTATTAGCAGTTTAAACTCCTATGCTGAAGTACCAGGTTTCAACTTCATCAATGACACAACCCGTCCTTCCATAACGCATTCATTCATTTCGATGGTAAATTGGCACTAAAGCACATCAGTGAGTCAAAACTGTCATCGGTTATTTTTGAATTAACCGTAGGGAGGGAAAACTTTTTCAGCACTGCCAGTGAATGACTGCTGTTGGTATGTGCTGCCAAAAATGCCACTGTTTCTGCCTTTCATAGTGAGCAAGTTATAGAGATGGTTTTAAAGTCAACACTTGACTGAGTCAAACATATAATACCGCGTTAAACCCAAAAGCGTCTGAGAGTCGCTATGGGGATCTCATGTTACTGTCGTTGGAATGCTCATATACAGGATGGACAAAGCATTGTCAGGTCCTTCGCTCCTACGCATGTTTCTCTGGTGAGTATGTGCGCCACCTTTTTAGAAGCCGATCAACTGGTTGCATGTTTCTCGCGATTAGTGCTCAGTGATGCGCGGCGTACCAATAGTCAACAAGACAAGCAAAACTCCTTGCCTGTCGGATCTTAGTCATTTGCATCTTGCAATGATAGCTTTTTTTTTTTTTTCGCTCATTTTTCTCACTAGGACTGTATTTTGTAATTTGCCGTGAAAGCGAGATTACTGTTTATAATTCAGATACGTAATCTCATTTCCTACAACAATTTCTGGCCAATAGCTTTTCTTTTTAGTTCAGTGAGTATTCGAAGAAACGCCTCTTGGAAAAGTAGCGAAAACTTTGTGGTTTGAATTTGACTGCAGCTAATGTTGGTTCATCAGCAGCAGCAAGCTGATGCATGCAGCAATTGGGCAAAGAATTCTGAGGGTGCGATAATACACATTGCAATAGTACAGTACAAGCGTTACAGGATTTTATTTAATACTTTTTTTTTTTGCATCAGGAGCTGGCGCTTGAAGGAAATATAGGTTTCAGACACAAACGTCGATCCACGGGAAAAAAGTCTACATTAAATTCGTTTCAGATTATAACAGTCTAAACGTTGTCTGGAACGCTGCCACATACTGGGCCAAGCTGTTCGATCCTGGGCTGCGCAACTGCAGTCAGTCCTCACTGTCTGTTCGATGCATGCGTGCTACCTCTTCGGGACCACCTGATAGGTCATTTATTATCCGTTTTTACATATATGGAAATTGCAGAAACGCATATTGGGAAGAGGCTGTCTGTGTGTGTGTGTGTGTCTGTGTGTTCGCAGTTTTTGTCACCTACTTTCAACTCGAGAACCAGAAAAGCTAGAAGGCTGAAACTTTGGGAGTATGTTTCCATACTCTTGCCGACTCTCTTGTTTTGAAATCATCCTCCACGGACCCCTGGGTGCCTCGAACGGAGCTTTAAAAAAATATGCAGATTTTTTGGCGGGAAAGCGATCTCGGGGACCAGACATAGTAAGGAGCTGAAAGTTTGTAGGGATATCTCTTTACATGTTTAGCCAAAAATTTCAAATTCAGCCCCCAGGTATGCATGGTGCTTAAGTACGGACGTATGAAAGCTTTGGTGGGAAAATTGCTAACTCGGAAACCAGAAAAGCTAGAAAGCTGAAATTTTGAGGGAATGTTCCCTGTCCAAGTACAACTTAAATATTTCAAATTCATCCTTCATTTTTCTTGGTTCTCACGTACGAGCATGTAAAAGATTTGGTGGGAGAATTGTTAACTCGGTAACCAGAAAGGCTAGAAGGCTAAAATTTTAGGGGAATATTCCTTGTCCAGGTACAACTAAAATATTTCAGATTCAGCCCCTAGCTATGTGCGGTGCTCACGTAAAGGCGTATGAAAGTTCCTGCGGGAAAATTATTAACTCAGGAACCAGAAAAGCTAGAAAGCTGAAATTTTAGGGTAATGTTCATTGTAGAAGTACAATTTGAGTGTTTCAAATTCAGCCTTGAGGTATGCGTGATTCTTACGTACGGACACTTAAAACCTTTGGCGGGAAATTTCTCACTGAAAAACTAGGTTACTTTTAAACAACGACCGTTAAGTGGAAATGGCACATTTACTATATGCAAAATTTATAGTGGTTTATGCTAGTAACCGCAAAAGGCAGGTGTAAAGCAAAAACCATTCATGCAGTTAATGACCTAAATACTTCAAGTCCAGTACAAAAACGTATGATCGTATGGGCCGGCCCGTTGCATTCCAGCCTGGGTTGGGGTTGTCTTTTGCCATTACACGATTTTTTCACCGGGTGTCGACAAGACGAGCGCATGCCCCGTCCATCACATAACATTTTCTCGTGTGGTCGCAATGATGCCCTGCATATCACTCATCTTCCCAACCACTTTTCGTTGCACGATACACGTTTGACAGAGAGTGAGAGGGGAATAGAAGAAATTAGGGCAAGAGAGAAGGGGGATAACGCCTGTGCGTATATGTTGTCCTGGCTGCTGCTGTTGCTGGTGTATGTATCCAAGAAAGCAAGACTTGTGGCTAA